ATTTCGAGCACATATGGAAAATCATCAGAACCCATATTACAAGCAGTCTTGACCAGCGCAAATCAGGCCACCATCAAGATAAAGCTCCCAGAGCACTACCCAGAGCCTGATCTCACGTTGCTCAATCTTTGTGCAGCAAGAAGACAGGCCCAACTAAAACTCCAAAGGAAGTATTCCAGCGCAAACAAAACCGATCTAAACAGAATCAATGCAGCAACAACACGATATGCGAAAAAAAACAAAGCGATAACACTGGGACGACAACTGTGCATCAGCAGATGCAAATAAACCTGGAACCCAAATTTGGCGAATCCTTGATGTTTTCATGGGCAAACGAGATCTCCACCTATCACACGCATCGATGGCGTTTCGGTTGGGCACAAGTCTAGAGGACGCCGCAGAACAATTTGCAGACCAATTTTCTTTAATCGATAACAAGACAGTCAGGACGTATGACGCTGTGACTACATCGTCCCCATTAGATGCTCCCTTCAACATCGAAGAACTACTATCGGCTTTAAAAGAGAGTAAACGAAAAAGCGCTCCAGGACCGGATGGAATAACAAACCAGATGCTGCAAAACATACCAAATGGACGCCAACAAGAACTTCTCAAGTTTCTTAACTATATATGGGAAACAAATGATATACCAGAAAATTGGAAAACCGCTTGGGTAATTCCAATCCACAAGCCTGGTAAACCACGCGACGCGCCATCGTCCTACCGACCCATCTCACTTACATCTTGTGTTATGAAGCTCATGGAAAGAATGATACACGCTCGACTCACCTGGTGGCTTGAAACCAATCACTTATTACCACACGAGATGACAGGATTCAGGCGTGGGCTATCCTCTCAAGACGGCATTGTAGATCTATTAAGTTCAATTGAACAGAATCACCCCGACAACAAATCGACATTAGCGGTATTTTTTGACATTAAAAAGGCATATGATAACGTTGATCCAGCAGTTGTTCTTGAAAGGTTGACAGCCATCGGCATCACGGGAAAAGTCCAGGCGTTTGTACAAGGCATCCTCACGAATCGAACCTTCAAGGTTAGACTAGGCGCGTCTTTTAGTACATCTCGCAACTGTGCTCAAGGACTACCACAAGGAAGCGTACTCTCGCCAATCCTTTTTAACATCGTTTTGGCCAGGCTACCAACATCCCTCCCAAAGTACACTCTCCCCATCAATATATCACTGTACGCAGATGACATTTGCATATGGGTCTCAGCAGGGCCGTAACCAGGGGGGGGGATAGGGGGTTCCGACCCCCCCCGAAATTTTTTTCTGGGTACGGCCCTGGTCGGTGCACTTGCAGCCAGCCGATTTTAATCTCCACCTCTGCGCACGCGCAGTGGCACCGGTCGGCTACCGGGTACCAAACCGGGACCGGTTCTTCGGTTTGCTATAACTCTCCATTATATGCCACCGATGCACATGATTCATAGGCGAAAATAAGACAAAATGGCCGCCGTTGTCCCCGAAAACCCCCCCCCCCCCCCCCCCCCGAAATTTTTTTCTGGGTACGGCCCTGGGTCTCAGCACATCGACATCATGGTCTTCGAAACGCCGCCCAAGCAGCCATTACGGGAGCGAGCAATTTTCTACTTGATTGTGGTCTGCAGTTCTCACAAGAGAAAACTGCGTTCATACTTTTTCCTGGAAAAAACCGGCGAAGCACAAAAATTACTTTGACTATTTATAACGTCCCCCTGCGCCGTGTTCGACAGCACAAATTCTTGGGAATCACACTGAACTCCCGCCTCAACTGGCATGCGCAAGCCACTAACGTGATAAAATCAACGATGACAGCAAGAAATGCCATTCGTAGAGTGGCAGGACAATCATGGGGAAACTCGCCAAGCTCTATGATACGTCTCCATTCATCCCTTGTTGTCAGTCGTATTCTATATTCATTACCTTTCATTAGATTATCGCCGACAGACTCTCAAACTCTAGAGCGCATACATCGACAAGGCCTGCGTACTTGCCTAGGAGTGCCCAGATCAACGAGGAACGAAAATGTATATCGAGAAGCCCGAGCTCTGACTTTACCCCTTATGGCTACCAAATGCCTTCTTTCCCAACAAATTCGTTTGTCCACTACGTCCGCAGGAAGGAGCCTCCTACGCCGACTTCGAACCAGGCAACACTCTCGCTTTTTTATTTCTACGCAAACTCTTCAACATCTTGGATGGACACCAGAGTTACTGCAAGACAAAGACAACTCTTTATCAGCTCCCCCCTGGAACGTTTACTGCCCGAAATGTAAGTGCCGCATTCCCGGTATACACAACAAGTTCAGCGCCAACTCAACTGTCATAAAACTAAAAACTAATGAATACATTTCGAGAAGATACGCCAACCACCTTGAGGTGTACACGGACGGATCAGTAAATCGAAGTCGAAGAAGTAGCACTTCCGCCTACTATATGCGCCTACTTTACAGCTCGAATGGAGTGGGCGACTAGATGAGTTTGTGTCATCAACAACAGCTGAAATGCATGCAATCCTAGAAGCCCTTCACATGATAAAAAACTTAACACCACAGGCAGTTATTCTCCTAACGGATTCTCGTGCTGCACTTCAACAGCTCCAAAGGTCTCGACAAATGTCACAAGTAGTAATGGCGGCCAAATCAATTTCAAGATCACTAGAAGAAGATGGTTTCGAAATTTCATTTCAGTGGGTACCAGCTCATGTCGGATTACATGGAAACGAAAAGGCAGACCAACTTGCCTCCAACGCACACAATCTTCCTATTAGCATCAATACGCAAGATGACCCCAGAAAATATTACCAAATTATAAATGAACACATCTGTGATTTATCAATAGCGCACTCCTCCCCTATCCAACCCTGTCTAACAGGAAGTCTTCGACGAGCAGAAGCCACACTTCTCTTCCGCCTACGTACAGGAAGTGCGCGTACAGGAAAATTACTTCACCGCTGGAAAAAACGCGATACAGACACCTGTAACGTATGCGGTGTTACCGAAGATATTAACCATATCCTAGAAGACTGCCAGAAATTTGAAAAGGAAAGGAAAGACCTCGCATCACAGTTAAAAAGACATCACTTCGTCGTGGAAGACATTGCAAGCATTATTTTCCCTTCTGGTACCCGAGCTCGGAGGAAATTACTTCAAAGGATATTCCTGACCTTCCTTCAAGCCACTGGGCTACAAGGTCAACTATAAGAAGCAGAGCATTTTCTAAAGTTATGAACATACGAAAGTGCTATCGTGATGAATAACTTTACACCTCTCACCTTTCTCTTTATTCTTCTCTTTCTTTGCACTCTTCATCTATTCTTTAAACATTTTTTTTTCTTTTCTCGGAGCGAACAATGTCAGCTAATCGGCTAGACTAACCCTCTCCGAATTTCATTATTATTTTAATAAAACGATTTTCTCTCTCTCTCTGTTCCTGACGTGCTGAGCACAAGATGTGGTGAGCGGGGCATGCAATGAACACCAGTGCTGCGTTCGGTTAAACTCGCGTCCTCGCCGGTTTGACACGAGTGTCAGCCGAATGCTTACGCCACACTCCCCACGGAACTTTAATAGTATTTGCTTTTTGTGTATGTTTATACAGCCTAAAGTTAGTTAGCCCCGATAGGCATGTGCTGTATCAGCTGTAGATGATGATAACGTAGGATAAGCATGCTGACGGCGTGATACCTAAACAAATGTCTGCTTTTTTGACCCTATAATTTAGCTGTCATTGCAGTTATAATCAGTGAATTATGTGGTTCAAGTGCACTGACCGTAATAAGTTGTTTCAACGGTTGGGGAAACAAAATGGGGTTTACAAAACGTACAATGCCGTCTACTCCCATAGGCTGCAGGTCCGCTAGAGGTGCCACTGTCGTCATTCGCAACAACTCCCAATGGTTTTCGAAGGAATTTCCAGCACTAGCCTTGATCGTATTTGCTAATACCACGTAGGGTTTTCGAACAGGACTGCGCGAATAGTTAGAAAAATGTATCCACTCCCTTCGAGCTTTTTCGTAGTCGGCCCCTAGATGCTCCACGTGCTCCGAGCTGGTGTGCACTAGCCCACTCGGCCTCCGATCCCCCGTTTCTAACCATTAAACTTGTCATTCGCAGGTGATGAGAAGTGCAGTCACGGCACTCATTGACCACGAACGCGAATCCAAACATTCGTTGAAAGATTAATTGTTGACGAGAGCATACGTCCGGGTGATGCAGTGCTCGTGTCCAATACGCAAGCTGGGATCGGCTGACGTGTTTCGACACTGCAGATGCATCACGCACCACAGTGAAAAAAAGGAGAGCTTGCGGAGGAAGGGCGGCAAGAAATAATCCGCTATATTCCCCTATTTTCGTATGAAAAGCGGGATTCTCGCTTTCTACCCTCGTGTACTGGTTTTCTTTTGGCGCACCGAACGATATGTGAGTAGCATATCGGTTCATTTCATGGTCCCTTTAATGCATGTCTTGCATTGACGTTACATTATTCGTTTTGAACCTCGGCGGAAGAGAGAGAGAGGGGAGGAAAACTACTTTTGTATGGATTTTGAGTGATGCGAGCGACGTCTGGGCAAGTTTCGGACACACAAAAGAGGGTGCCGTTGAGAGGGGAGTTCCCCCTTCCCCTCTTCCCTAGTGGTGGCCGGAGAGCTGACGGGATGACGTCAGGTACAAGGCATGTATTAATTAAGACTTGAGATTATTGTTACTCGGTGTTCCAGGACCATTCGGCCCATTTCTGATCAGTGAAGAATGACTTGTTGCTTGTAGTGATCATCCCTATTCATTCAGTTTAGAACTAAACAAGTTACTATCCTGAACTTCAAACCCAAAATCGAACGTGGGTAAATGGCCCAAAACTGTAACGATGTTTGAAAGACGCGCGCACACCACCAGATGATACCTTCCCAAGACAGTCGTTCGAGGACGTCTCAATCGTTAAAGACTGTCATCATCATCGTCACTTTACCTCGTTTTTGTAGGCGTTGCTCTACTGTTGCCATTGTTGTCTTAGCAACGAGCAGTCATGGCGGAGGACCCATTTTTCGGTTTACTGAATGGCATCGCCCAAAAATTATACTACGAGAACAAGGAAATTACGGACGATGTTCTCAAGAACGACCTGTATCCATCGGTTACGGATCAAGAGTTCTCCAAGTTGCTTGCAAAGGCGACCAATGTTATCAAGGTGCGTTTCAAAAGCTTCCACCCTTCCACCGTCTTCACATGTTTCCGATTGATGTTGCGGAAAGACGCTGCCGCGCCAGAACCAAGTGTTCGCAACTTGAATCATTCTCACTACTACTTCGAACCGATTGTAGAACTTGAGCTACAAGCACGGTCCCCTCAGTCGTCAGTTGCATGAGCGCTCGTGTGATGTTCACGAAGTTCAAAGAGAGGCCCGTTTGCTCACGAATTCCGTTACGGGAGCTTATGTCTGCCGAATGTCCCGGCAACTCGCAGTCATATTATCCGTAACGTAAGCAAACGCTCCTGTGTGAATAGGCCTGGTTCTCTCGACCAGAAGGCATAGACGCTACAACGAAAGAGACGCTTTTGTGTCCTCTAGCGTTTGCGTCCTAGCGTCCCATTATGCCCGTCTGTCAGCGTCGGTCCACGCGCGCTAGAAAAAGTTTAAAAGAAACTCGGAAATCTTTTATATCAACGAAAAAACAGTGCAACTCGCACCTTCAGCATCCAATCAAAACGGTGCAATTTCTTTTCGACTTTTGTGTACTCGTTATATTAACGTCGGTAAGCGTGGCGACGAAAAGCGATTTTATGGTGCCAAAACGCGACCTAAAAATGTGAATTTTCTCGCCAGGGGCGCTGCTCAAAGCTAGGAACCTTAAGCATAAAAGGGACTTTCTCCTGTTAGCGCAGACTCTCGCGGCCTCCAACATGGACTGGACACAACTGGAAGCTTTCCTGACGTCCCAGACCAAGCGTCAGGAAGGCGGATTGACGGCCGAACAGGCGCAGTCGACAGCTCGCTTCTGGCAAGGTCACCGGTCGCGCATCCGTGCCAGCGTCCTGGCACAGAGCCGCTGGGACCCGGGGCTCGAATCTTGCTCGTGGAGGGTGGACGTGGACGGCCCCACGGCACATGTGACCCTTGGACAAGCTCAACTGCAGCTCGACAAGTCCCATCTTGAAGCGCTGCTCCAAAGCATCGCAGACGTCCAAGTGGCATTAGATAAACACTGTCCCAAGGTGAAGTGAACACACACATGCTTCCTGGATACCGCCGAGACATTCTTTGTTCGTCAGTTACATCCGATTGTGTGAGCAATGGACTTCCTGTGTTGCTGCTCGTATGCGACTATTGGTTCTTTTACTGGAGTATGTAGCCATTCGACAGTACTGTTGACCACAAGCTACCGTGAAATACCGGGTGAGCACCCATCCCACTTTTGCTGAAAACTGGATTCATCTAGACACAGGTGCTCGCCCAATCAAATAGGGTGCCTAAAGTATACAGATTTCCCAAGTTTGGAACATGTTAATAGTGGATGCTTGAACAAAGTGGCTGCTTCCACAGTATTTTACGGCAGGATACAACTGTTTTGTCTGCTTTGCCCCTGCGTTTTGTCTAATGTAAACTAATGTACACACATTCTCCTTAGTTACTGTTTGCTGCTCCCAAGCAGAGAAAATATAGCAGTGCATGTATTGCAGCCTCCTATAGTTTCACTTAATGTGAGAGCAAAGCTGGAGCTAGAAGCACGAGCGTGCTTTCCCGAGCAATGCTTGTGCTGCACGAGCACGCGTGCTTGGTAGAGATGCCGAAAGCCCGGAGGTCGTTTTCGTAACTCCTGCTATGCCCGAATGTTTAAAGTGAAACAGTTTAGTGCTCAGCTTGTCCACTGGTTTTTGTTCATTATAATGCATCTCCAATTCTGCAACCTGCACAATGAGGATTCGATAGTCAGGAGTAATCACACACAGAAACCCACACTTGCACTTTCAAGTGATTAGTGGCTACAGTGGTGGCCTACCAAGCCTTGACTGCCAACCCAAAAGCATGAACATGCAGCCACAACCGTACTGGACTTTCTGCAAGCTCCAGCAGCACTATGTGGATATTCTTACATTTCCAAGTTGCAGACGGCGGCGAAAGGTTGCGGGGCACAGGAGCATGAGTCGAAAAGACTGCCTGCGTCTTCCGACAGTGTGTCGCCGCTCTCAAGATTAAACCTTTGTGCATGTGCTTCCTTTCGTGTTTGCAGTCATGTTTTTTTTCACTCGCTTCCTTCGACACCCACGAGATAACGGTCTGGCACAAGGTACCGCGAAACCTCGTCTGTAGCATGCAAGCTCCAGCACCCATCACGGTGTCCGAGACAAAGGCACGGCACAACAGCCGACAAAGCGACATCTTGTGCACGTCGGACGAAAGTGAGTGAAAAAGATACGACTGCGAGCACGAAAGGAAGCGCATTCTCGAAGCGTGAACCTTGGGAGCGGTTGCACGCCATCTGAAGGCTCAACCAGTCATTTCGGCTGGTGCTCCTGCGACCCACAGACTCTTGCTGTAGATTGTACAACTATAGAAAGCATACTCAAGTCACAGCTCTAATCACAAGTTGGCAGTAGCCAAACTGCAAGATTTGTGCAACATAGCACGATATGCAATTCTACACATGCTAGTGTGGTAGAATGTGCATGTGTGCAGTACCAACCCAGGCAGTAAAATCTTATTAGATACCAAATGGAAGAGCAAAAACCTGGGCTTGCACCAATGATGTTATGCAGCATATCTGCCTTTCAGAGACACTGCAAGACCACTACCAATTGCCAACTTACAGGCACGGGCATGGGAAGTCCTCGTACTTCGTTGACCATATTGGTAACCTTTTCAAAGAACTTGGCTGCAGCATCAAAGTTCTAGCACACATGGCACCAGCAATGTGACAGGGTAGCACTGCCACATTGCAACCTTCGCACAATTGCCTAATTGTGACTAGCAAATATGTTTTTATTAACTTTCCCACCATTTGGCCTGAAATTTGAAATTTCTGGTGCAGTTTGGAATAAACCCTCTTTCAGCCTTAAGCATTGACCATTTCGCTCCATTAGAGCTTGGTGGTAAAGACTGAGGCCCTAAAAACGTATACAACTGTCTGGTTAAAACTGTGTAATAAAATCACGTCAGAACCAAAACATGAAGCTGCAAGAGGTCAGATAATGTAATTTGAGCCATCAACAGGTCAAAGTCCACCACTGTATGTAATCGCCAAACTACAGACTGGACACCGAAAGAAAAAACGTTAGGGATAACTAATGATCATGCAGTGCCTCCACGCTGTTGAAAGCACCCATTAAGTGCGAGCATCATCGTTCGCAAAGCTTTGGTTAAAATGCATTTGAAGCTGCGACACATGGCTTCAAATGTACCACCAAAGCGCATCAAGACACTCCCCAAAATACCCATATTTAAATTTAATGGTTTTTAATGACATTGTTGCCATAAACTTCGAGATGCCAAACTCTTATAAAAACACTTTCCCTGAAAAACAAACTTTTTTCTCGCGCTGTATTTAGGTTGCAAGAGTCATTTCAGTGATGGAAGCGGCATTTGACCCTTTGGAGCAGGTTCTGTAGCAGGCAAAATATTTGTTTGGAGCAGCCACTGATGCTTTTGGAGGAGATGCCAACGTCTGTTAGCATATCACTTGAAAATTAAAAAAAAAAACTGATTGCATCACTAAATGAGTTTATATTTGATAATGACTGAGGGTTTTTCTTTGATACTGGAACATACTACTTATTACCTTTTGTAATAAAAACCAATAAGGCACAAAAGGTACATAGAGCTTTTGTTTTAGAAATAAGGCTCTGTTCAGAGTAGGTTCCATTTACAATCGGTACTAATCACATTGCTAAGAAATGAATCTCACTTGGGTTAAAGCTTCCTTCCCCTCCCACTTTTACACCTGGTAGTTCATTTAGCCTGTATGTAATGTTTCTGTAAAATGCCACCAAAAACCAACATGATCGCTAACATGTCTATCAGTAAAAATGCGCCCCTCCCAAATTTGATCGTTACCAGACTCGAGACTTAAATATAACTGAAAAAGAAAATAAAAAACAGCAACTCACAAATGTTATGAAAACCTACTCTTGCCCTTACATTTATTCAAATAAAGCTCCGCATATTTCTTTCTCGACGCAGCATTTGAAAACAAGATTATATAATCGAAATCAAAGAATGTGGACCTGCACTAGTACTGAGCATAATTTACATGTATGTGATGCTAAACCAGACGCTCACCCATGCCAGCAACTACTCCAAACACTCCGGTGCAATGCGGTGAAGGTCGACGCGCGTGGGCCGGTGAGAAGCACGATGGAGGCACACGGCAGACAGAACAATCAACCGATCTCACCAGGAGTACAGGAACCTGGTTCTGTCTTATCGCAGTAGCCGCTATCCTACTGCGTATTTTGCAATGATATGTCGTGACTTTTGGCTCCCGACATCGCCTGAAAGTTTAGAGGATGTCGGTGATCAAGCCGTTGGCGCATCAACTGGCCAATGCAACGGTCCAGCAATCTTAAAACTTCGTTTCACCTTAATTTAAAGCGCAGCCGACGCTACGAGCCAGTGGGATTAGTGAAACGTTAAATCGCGACATCGAGGCATCCGACCTTCGTACTGTACGTGTTTTTATCGATTAAACCAATCAAATGCAGCGAATGTCCTGCGACTTGCACTTTTATTGTGTGTTCATACTGTATATGTTGGAGCCTTCGATTGTGCTCCGACCTTAGATGAAACACTGTATACGGTGAGTAGAGACGCTGTGAAATACATATTTCTAGCGTTTTTCTTTCTTTCTACTTCTTTGAATATTAAAGTCAACCAATAAAAAAATATATCATTTTTTTTTTACCCATCTCGGCGCAGGTGTGGCGCAATTCTTAGCCAAAATGGCACCTTTGTGAAAGATGTAGCAGACTGTCACTCAAGGCGCAATTTGGTGCAAACAGCGCAGCACTTCCATTTTGAATGCGTCTGTTTCTATTTTGGTACAACGTGCCAAAATAGAAGCGCATTTTGAAACCACTCAAAATGAGCCTCAACAAAAATATTGCAGTAAAACAATGTTTTTGTGCGTAATATTTTTTTTTTGTGACACGTGTCTGGAACCTAGGCACTTGTAAAGAATATTTTGGGGGAGTTCAGTCTCTAGAAACGATCGCAAAACATGCCTATATTTCGGACCAACACGCCAAAATCTCACAATTGCTCCCAACTCAAAATGTTTCACGACGTTGTACACGCGTCTTGTCGGAGCATCTAACGGGAAAAGCTTTTGGGAACTGTTCTCTTAAGGCCACCTAAGTTAGAAATATCCATGGTGCAGAAACACGCCGCGACAACTCCCCCACCCCCCAGAGAAACTGCACACAAAGGCGATATGAATGCTCAGGTTTGATATATTTCTCTGAATGTCACGTACATCCAAAAAAAAGCAGGGCTGCAGGAAGCACCCCCAGCCAGCTTGCTTGCAGGAAGAAAACAAACAAAGTTTGCGGATTGTTATTTTAAACATGTCGTACGGAACGATATACTTCGCATACGTATAATATAACCATGTGGTGCTTTCCTGCTCGCTTCATTCAATGGCACTTCTTCGTCTGTGTAGTAATACGTTTGGCAGCAACACTCTCTCTCTCTATCCTCCGTCTCTCGCACACGCACATGCTCATTATAAATGCAGGCCCCTCCTTTCGAGACGTTCCTCGTCATCACAGTCCCATGAGATAAGTCCTTTTTTTTGTTTGTTTTAAATCGACAACATGGTTTTTTTCTCAGCACCCACGAGACGTGTGCGGGTCGGAGGCTTCGCTAAGGAAACGCAAGCGACGCAACGAACACGCAAAAAAACTCCGAAACGGGCCTCCGACTCCGGCGTGGCGACGAACACAAACACGCCGCCTTAAGTACCACACGTCCGTTAAGGGGAGAGGAACACTGTTTAACGTTACACTGGGGGAGGGCCAAGCTCCAGATCGGTTCTCTTTGTTGTCGTTGCATACGCCGATTGCACTTTCGAGATTGGCATAACGTCTTTTACTTTGTCGCAGTCGCTCTTTTGGTAAACCGTGGAACGCAACGCGTAATACTTTGCTTCCGTGTACGGGGATGACCGGACGCATTTTTGCTGGCTCGCTGCGTGGACGCACTCGTCGCACAGAAGACGACACTCTTCAAAACAACCCACTTTTTTTTCTTTCTTTTTTTTTTTTTTTTTTCTCTTTTCGTTTTTGAGACCGTAATACTCCTTTACGGCTGGCCCACCGTCGCTCGATTTTGCCGAGCTAAAGAATGCAGCTGTGCCGTGCAAAAAAAAACAAACAAGATGAAGCCCCCATAAAAATGGCATTTTTTTTTACATTTTGCATTTGTAAACCTTTTTGTGATTTTTTTCTTGCTTATCTGAGTACAATTTGCATATGCGAACATAACCAACGAGAAAACAAAACGACGAGACAAAAGCGGGACGCATAAAACGCCGCCGGCGTCTCGCAAGTCTGTTCGGCGTGCCTCCGACATTTTGGCCAAAGGTTTTTATCGTTTTTTCTGCAACGCCCCGACCGGTTTTTGTCGGAAACTTTTCAAAGCAGACGCAAGACAAAATGTCTTTAAAAAGAAATACAAGGAACGAAAAACATGGCGCTGCCATCATAGCACAGTTAAATCCATCCACCGTAAATTGCCGCACGCATGCACACACACCCACACAGGCACACGCATAGCGAAAAACAACACACAAAAAAGGGGCAAAAAAAAAAAACGGACAAGAAGAGCTCGCAAACGGGAAAAAGTGCATATCATCTTCGTTGCGATAGTGGTCATCATAATCTGCGTTCCGGTCGTCACCATAAATAGAGTGATCCGCATAGTCGTTTTCTTTTTTTCTCGCCGTCTTCGGAAGTTGGTGGCGGAAAAACCGGGGGAAGGGGGGGGGGAGGGGCAACGTCTCAAAAACCCTTCCAAAAAAAAACAAAAAACACACAAAAAAAAAAAAATAAATGGAGAGAGGGAAGTTGGGGCCACTCTAGCTGGAATGTGAGGCCCAACGTTCGCCTCACCCGGAGAAAGCACAAATGGCGGCAAACATTGTGTGTCTTGGAGTAACGTAAAAAAACAAAAGTTCTCGTCGTCTTCTTCGTCCTGTTCCCGCGGCTTCCCTCATTCCTTCCGAGCCTTTTCCCTGCAGTTTTATCTGGGCTCCCTGTAGCACATTCCAGAAAGCACATGCAATAAGCCAACGGAACCATTTCGGCACCTTGATTAGCGCATTTTCATGTTTGTCAAATCGCCCGGCTAAAGGCTGGAGCTAGCCTTAAGCAGACTCCCGGATTTGCTTATCTGATGTGCAAGCAAATCTGAGAGCTGACTAAAGGCTAGCACGTGAAACATTGAGGCGTGCCTACCCAAGCCTCGGCCCTCCACTCCTCTCGCAAGTTAGGCGTTGTGACATACGTGGAAATGCGCTAATCAGAGTGCCGAAATTGGGCCCCTGGCTTGCTTCACAAGCTTTTCTGAATATGCCTTTTGGTATGGCCACGGCCACCTTAAATGCAAGGCGCCGTCCTTGTTTTGTTTTTAGACTGCGGCGAAGAGGAACGCTTGAACCTATGCTTCATTTCGCCTTACAATGGATCACGGCAGATCCTGAAGCCGTCGAAGTCGATCCAGCGCTGTAGAGGTGTCGTGTGGCGTTTCGCAAAAGTGCAGCACAGCTCAAAACACGAAATGTCGCACAATACGCTCTACGTTCCGGACTGGCTAGGATGGCTTGTAGGGTCTGCCTCTGTTCAATGTAAGATAAAACCGAGTACAGTTTCCTTGACAGACTCGTCGTATTCAATGGCAAGGATAAAAATGTGACAGCTGCCAAAAAGAAAGCCAGCTACTGTCAAACTTTTCCCTCACACGTCCTGCCACAGTTAAGCCCACACATGTTTTCACACATGTACGCGAAAAGATAGAAAACAACAACAATATAGATCCAAGAGGGCAGTTGCAGGAGCTTATTCTTCGAGGGACATGTGACAATCATTTTGTTTACGCCCCCACTCTAGGAGAAGGTAGAGATGGGGAGGAAGGGGGAGGGACTCTTCAAAAACACCTCCAACCAAACAAACAATACAACCAACAAGTCGACAACCCCAGACGCAATTAAAGCAAAGGAAGCGCACCGGCAAGGTTCGAAACAACCGGAAAAAAACCGTCCGTCCTTCGCGACGTCCGCCGCCCAACTAAATAAATAAATAAAAAAACTAGTCCAAACCCAAACCAGCTTCGAACCTAAAACTAACGACACCGCTGCTTCCATTGTCCGTAACGCGCAACGCCGGTCGCCAGCCCGTTTTTGATTGATTGATTGATTCGTTGATTGCACGGCCGCCGCCGCGGGAACAGGAGTCCGCAAACTGATTTGTCTTCACAGGAGATTTCCGAGAAAAAATAAAAAATATGCACGAGGAAGGTTGGTAAGGAAGGAAGGGTTCGTTTTCCAGAAGAGAGGGTTAGGAGGACTTGAGGGGCAGCGCCCTGGAGTCGTAGTCCACGACCAGGCGCTTGATGTGGGCCAGCTTGTCGTGCAGGTACTGGAACTTGCGCCGAGTCTGCTGGTACCGCTGGTCACGCTTGTTCTCCTCGTACTCCCGCATTATCTGCTGCTTGATCCGCTGCAAGGAAACCAAACATTCACTGATCGATCGAGGCTGAATGGTGCGAGAATAGCTAAGATGGTACTAAAGTGGTTTCCGAGATCTTACATTTATGGTCGTAACTAAATATACGGCCTTTGGGCAATTGGAAAAAAACATGTCCGATTTCCTTATTAAAAACTTCATCAAAGACTGCGACATGCCCATTCTGTGATTCCGCACTGCAGCCAGAGAGTGCCGTCGGACATTCTACAGCCGATGGCGAGCGTTCACTTCCCGCGCAGCAAGGGGGCCAATTAACGGCGAAATGGCTTTTGAATGTGTGTGATTCGTGCAAAAGAAATACCTAATCACTCGTGATTGGCTGTCACACGTATTGGATGGTGCCCTTCAATTGTTACACTGAATTTCGAAAAAGGAACGGGCACGTCCCGATCTGCGATCTAATTTTTAATGGGGAAATCGAACGAGTATGAACAAAATCTAGGGTTTTAGGATGCCTAGAGCCCATAGGTTGAGTCATGACCATAAATAGATGACCTCAGGAACCACTTTCATGCCCTTTTATCGTCAGAGATATAAAAAGAAATCGAGCAGTCCCATGTGTACAGTCACAGCGATAGCTTCAAAACGTCACGGCAGTCATTTGGCCTGGGCATTGCACTCAAGTGCCGCGGGGTGCATGAACAAAAGCGTTGGGAACAAAATAGACATCTGACCATTTTCTTCCAAACGATTTTTGTTTCCAGTCTGTTCCGGAGCGCGTGAAAGTGTGTCGGCACGAGCTCTTGTCATCATTCAGTGATGGAAGCGGCATTTGACCTTTTGTAGCAGGTTCTGTAGCAGTAGCAGGCAAACTATAGGTTTGGAGCAGCCACTGATGCTTTGGGAGCAGATGCCAACATCTGTTAGAGAATTATAAAGTGAATGAATCTCTAAATGAGTTCATTCATGATGTTGACTAAAGGTTGCCTGTGGTACTAGAGCATATTACGTATTACTGTTTGTGATAAAAACAGGTAGGGCATGAAAGGAACGCAGTCTTCTTAAATCAGGCTCCAGTCAGAGCAGGTTTAATTTACAATGGGTATTAAAAAATGGCTGAACAGTGAATCTAGCATGACAGTTCATTGGGACAAATCCTCTCTCAGCCTCTCTATTTTACACTTGGTAGTTTGTTTTAGTCTGTAAATAAAATGTCTCTAAAATACCAGCAAGAAGCAGCACATCTGCTAAAACCTACCAAACTCACGATTCTAATATCATACAACTACAAAAACAACCACCCAAAAATAATATTAAAGCCCACACATGCGCTTTAACTCTGGTTGAGACGCCGCTAAAGAGCGGCGTACAGACCAGAGTTACGTCAAAGTTTGCTGCTCTTTCGATTGACAGTTGCACGGAAACTACTGAGACTGCTAGATATGTGTAAACCCGTGTTTTCTTCTCGCTCTCTCTTTCTCTGCCCAGTTTCCTTTTTTCTTTTTTCAAGATTAGAGATTAACTCACAATTAGGACGAAGAAGGTCGACCCGTCATAATTCAGAGCATAACCTGCATGCCTATCGCACTAAGGCAGGCGCTCCCCCAGGTCAGCCGCTGCCCCTCGCACTCCGGTGCAAAGCGGTGAAGCTCGGCACATGCACGCTGGTGAGTGGCGGTGAAGGTTGCCACGAGCGAAGCAAGTGCCACAAAACGAAGGCATGTGGCAGACGTGATAATCGAGTGATTTGATCAGGAGTACAAGACCCTGGTCTCGTTTTATCACAGTTTCCGCAATCGTCAATTTTACTGTTTTGCAAAATTTTCCCGGGACTCCTAGTTCCTGACATCGCCGACATCGTTTAGAAATTTAGATGATGTCGGGGATTAACCGGCCATTGCATCAACCGGCCAGAACGGTTGGTTTGCAGCATCAAAGTGAGACATTGTGGCATTCGTCCATCTTCCTGAGTGTGTTCTTTCATCGGCTAAACCAATCAAGTGCAGCAAACGTCGCGCGACTTGCGCTTTTAGTATCTGTGTTTGGGGTTGTACATGTTCCAGCCTTCGACTGCGTTCCGACCTAAGACGAAACAAACTATACAGTGAGTAGAGACGCCATGAGATTCATACTTGTACAATTTTTCTTTACGTTTACCTCTCTGAATATTCAGGTCAACCAATAATAAAACATTAACTTTTTTTTTTTGCCTGTAGACCATCTCGGCGCAGGTGTGGGGCAATTCTTAGCAAAAATGCCATCTTGGCACAAGATGAAGCAGACTTTCGTTCATGGCGCAATTCGGCGCAGCGCTTCCTTTACTGGGCATTGACAGTGCTACAACGGCATTTTGTTCTCGGCCATTTTTTTCCAGAGAGCATTAACCCTGCGGCATAGCTCTGTGGTGGCACTTTCACTTCGCACGCGGTGGACCCAGGTTAGGCTCTTGCGGGCGGCAGGTAATCTCTTTCAAGGATGTGGCAACATCAACCACGGACGCCTTACAACACCAACTACGTCACCAACAACACCAACCACCACATCAACAACCGTGGTCACTGCCGGTGGAGGGAAGAGCCAATAACAGCTATTGCTGTAAAAAGACTCTGCTCATTGCTGGGGATCGGTGCCACTCACATTCCACTGGTCAGAGCCCTCCCTCGAGTTCCGTAGGCTGTCCTCCAGGTCCGAGAAACGCCGCGAAACCTGCTCCACCGTCGAGTGCAGCGTCTTGTATTCCTCATACTCCGCGTTGAAGTCTGCCTTGTAGCGGCCCCGCTGCTCTTGATTGGTGATCTCTACGTACTTCCTGCGTCGGTGAATTCGTTTGGACATCGTTCTACGGCCTTGCCACAAATGCTGAACGTGGGCTTTAGGTGGCCCATGACTTTGAACACATTTGGTACACAAAGTTTAAATGCCACGTGACCATAGAAATGAGAGTGAGCATGACTGAAACCGGCCAACTCTCGACCGGCTATTTTCAACTGTGAAAGAAAACGAATTTCAAGCTGTAAATTGTGTTCTGGGTAGTTGGGCTCATATAGGTCATGTTTAAAAAAAAAACCTCGGCAAGCATCAATACGCCCCTCCACACTACAGCGCACTATTGCAAACGTACACTCACTCCTTACACACGAAAAAGAAAGCAAAATTGAAACGAACCGCGCTGACTGACAACTCGTTTTTATATACTTTGTCTTCTGTAGTGTGTTAATACTGCTGTCGTGAATGTTAATGTGAGCAACCAACTTGCCCAAGCTGCTACGTTATCCATACCCCACCACTGTCTCTTTGAGCTGTTAAAAAAAGATTTTGCAATGGACTGCCATGTTCTTTATTTTCGTGTTAACTGCGCACTGTGCATCAAAATGCAATTATTGAGAAGGAATGCTACACAATTATATGATAGCATAGCCAACAGCGTAAAACCCCAGGGGCAAGCTTGGAAAGGTAGAATCGTTGGGTGGTTTGGCACTTCACAATTAAATTTTGATTCCAAAGTTTTGTAAGGAGACACTGAGACACTTACGTTACATATTCTGGGACTTGGTTGGTGGAATTCCGTGGCGATGGATTTGTAGATGGGATCCCTGCAGCTGCAAGCAATGATGGATGCAATATCCCAATTACGACAGGCTTTAGTCTCGACTTGGCTTCCTTAGAACACTTGCTCACAGAGGAGAGTGTGTGTATTGCTCAAGGCGACAAAGCTCATTGTTCAGGGGCATTTCTCGGGTTAACGAGATCCCCTTTGTTGTCATTCAAAAGAACTGCGAGTTTCAAAAGGTATCTATACTTTCTTTGAAAGGAATTGTAGGGGCTTGTAACAATCCCATAAGGTTCTTGCCACCTTCGTTGAGCCAACCAGGAATGTCTCCAGTGTCATTACCTTTCAGGTAAAGTCAATTTTTTTGTTTGTTAGGCCTCCGAAATTTTTATCCTTTTACCTAGAATGTACAAGTCTTGGGAGTTCTGAATGCATCCGAAGAATCCCTAACATCTTCCTACAGTGAGGCATTTAAAAATCTTATCCTTAGACTGAACTGCAACACAGTTTCCTAATGTTCCTTAAAGATTCCTGAACCCACATCTTGAAGCAGACCTCTGTATTGCAGCACACCATGGAGTTCCCTACGCACTCCGCTCATCCATACTCCCGATTTCCCTTGAACACCTCCTTCCACTTTCAGGTCCTCGTAGTACTTGGGTTCCCTAACTTGCCGGCCTTCCTTAGTCCCTTAGAGTCCCTAGCTTGCAATTTTACCAAGCACTATTGTCCCTAACTTGCAATTCTCATGATCTGTGGAGTTTCTAGCTTGCAAATCCCCAGATTCCTTACTTTGCAGGACGACAGAGACCCCCATTTTCCTCTAACACCTCCCCACAGGACCCCGCTCGCAGCATCACATAGTACCTGAATTTTCTAATTTGTGAGATTACATAGTCCGTGGAGTCCCTGACATGCAAGTCTCCGTAATTCGTGGAATCACTAGCTAGTAGATACACAAATTCCCTAAAATCCCCTCTTCACCATTTTCCTAGAATACCTCCCTACAATCCCCATGGGACCCAACTTGCAGGTCCCCACTGTCCCTGGATTCCCTAACTTCCAGGTCCCCATTGTGCCTGGATTTTCTAACTTAGAGGTCCCTCATGGTCCCCAGAGTCCTTGATGGTACAGTAAAACCTCGTTAATTTGGATCTCATGGGACCGGCAAAAATGTCAGAATTATCCGAAAGTCGAAATATCGAAAGGACAAAGAAAACTGCGCGAAAATGTTGCCCTGTGACATACCTTTATTTTGAGAAGAAATCTGTTATTACCGCCTGCTTTCTGGATGCCACTTGGGCGGAGACGGCAACTTTCCTTAGCGCGGTCGAGTGCTCCACCGCACTCGCACTGTCGGAGCTACGCATCCCGTGCGCGGACAATATAGCACAGCAAGGCCTCTTTTATAGCATCTTCGATCAACTCGCACCGGAATCGCCCTGAAACCAGCACAGTGCACAGCGCTCCTCGGTCGTGCAGCGCGATGTCGGTGCAACATCAAGGACAAACTGCGCCGCGCCGGTGTACCGCGGCGAGCTCCACCTTGCGTCACTTCGCGTTTTGTTCGTTTATTTTGCGTAGGTCAGCGCACGGTGCCCGTCTGCTCTCAATTTCTTTTATTTTTTTACTCGCGGATTTGACGGTCCCACAGAAATAAACATCGTGGACGTGAGTGTCGATGGGGTCACGAAGCGGGTGACAATTCCACATGTATATGTTGGCCATCATTATTAGTTCAAGAAAACGAAACACCAGATAATAGCCATACCTCGCTGTCATTGAAACGCCTCGCGCCGCTTTCCACGAAGTTCGTGCTTTTCGGGCGCTCCTTGCCACCGCAGCAATCGCCAGTAATCGCGGCGATGGTGAGAAGCTCGTCGTCTCGCCGTCAGAAGACCCGAGGAAATCATCTAGTGCAGCTGCAAGGCGTGTTCGTTTTTGCAAGATTGCCATCTCGATAGTCTGCGCGTCTGCTACTCCCGCCATCTTCTCGATTCCCGCTCCTGGCCGCAATGCCTGATGGGACTGCCCCTTGGCGCACTGCCGATTTTCTTGGTGCACGTTGGGGCAACGAAAAGCCGCACCGGGAGGGTGCGCTTCGTTGATCGAGGACGTACGGTGCGCACCGGTGCACTTGATCGAAGATGAAGGGGCGCACCTCACTGCCCCGGTGCGCACCGGTGCGGATGATCGAGGATGCTATTAGTTTCGGGTGCACCACCTTCCAAGGCCGCTTTCTTTTCGCGTTGAACTTCTCGTTTTCGATATCGGCCTCAATTTTCACGTATGTGGCCAAACTGCTTCTCTTGACGTCGTAACTTTCCGTCACTTGTCGAGAGACGCCGTCCTTCAAAGCCCTCAGTATTTCCATTTTCATCACTAAAATCTTAGCCTAGTACAGCTGCAACGGAAAACGAGTAGCACAACTGACCAATAATCGGAGCACCGAAATCGCGACACCCGGCACTATTTTTCCCGAGCGCGCCGATAGCGAGAGTGCGAGTCACGTTGTATTTTTCAATGCGGGGGTGGCCGGCGAAAAATTGAGGGATAAGATAGCTGTTAAAATGGCGGGCTTTAGGATCTCCGCGTTGAGGCATAAAACGTGACTGTCACTCTCGCTATCGGCACGCTCGGGAAAAATAGCCCCGCGTGTCGCGATTTTGCCATTCCGGTCGTCGGTCACTTCTGCTACCCTTTTTCCGTTGCAGCTATGCTTCTGCCGCTTCCATGCCATGAGAGTAACGCGCTGAAGCACGGCGATCCAGAGCAAAACTGGTGCGAAACACGGAGAACCAGAAGAGCGAAGAGCCATGGGAAGACCGGAAAAACGTGTGCACCTCGGATGGATAGCAATCATACCCTTTGGAACGAACGGTAGCTAGCGCCACCTGCCGAATTCGTCCAAATTAACCATACTGCGCCGCGTTCCCTCCGAATTAATGAGCGTTTGCTGCTATTGACTAATTGACTATTTGACGGGACCGGATCGGCAGTTCAAATTATCCAAATTTCCAAATTAGCGGGAGTTGAATTAACGAGGTTTTACTGTATACCTCAACTGTAACTTACGAATCTCAATAACCTAGCTGTACCCAAAAGCTGGAATTCCTGGCTTGTGGATACACCTATTCCCCAGAATCCCTACCTTGTAGATCACCAGAGTCCCTAGAGTCCCGAGAGTCTCTGGAATCCGGGGAATCCGGGCAGTCTGGGATGGAATGGCAGGCGAAGGGCACCGAGGGCTCTGAGGAGGGGATCGAGGGCTGGGTGCGGCAGGGCTGGTTCCCCGAATTAGATTCTGCCAGGACCCTGGAGTGCGGGGGCCTGGTCGTCCCAAGAGCGCTCCCGTTGGTGATCGAGGTGTTGTTGGTGCTGCCGTTGTTGATGCTGCCACCGTTGGTGGTGCACAAGCTGATCCGCTGTCGCTTGCTGCCAGGGAGCGTCGGTCCCGTCTCCGGATTTGGTTCCCGTTTCTGTGGAGGGAGTCGGTGCAGACGGCACACGCCGTGAGTGTGCGCAAGATTGCCAAGTACAAACCCAAAAAACGCAGTGTCCATAACGGTTGATGCGCAAGACTGCCAAGTGCAAACTCAAAAACGTAGGGTCCACAACGGTTAATACACTTTTTGGGGTCAAAGTAAGAGTGAACTACGAGGTTTACCAACACATAACTGGTATACAAAAAGTAAAATCACAAATATTTCATAATTGACTGAGTATACCATGGAGGCACTCTATCAATTATGAAATCTTTGCGATTTTGCCTATCCTCAAGGCCAGGTTCCACAGTTTTCAAAAATGATGTCCCCAAATGAGATCTAGTTTAGCCAGACTTGTTGTTGGGCTAGATATGGTAAGTTCAAGGTACAGAGTAAACTTGCAGGCGCAAACACAGAGGACAAACACGATGGAGTGGACAAGGACCAGTGCATTGTTCTTGTCCAGTCCTTCGTGTTTGACCTCTCGTGTTTGCACATAAAAATTTACTCAGTACATTGAGAACTATCGCATTTACTCTAATGTGACGCGACCACGATTGTAGCACGAAAAATTACTTTTCACAGTGCCAACCAAAAAAAGAACACGAATGCAACACGAGTAAAGTGAGGAAAAAAAAGTACCTTTATTTGTTGCGCATAGTGGCCAACACCTGCCAGTTTTTAAAACTAAAACGAGTTTTGCTCACTCGTCGCTTTCGTCACCAGTGATCCGCCACTCTTTTTTTTTTTTTTTTATTTCTGTGTGACAGTTACAACAAGGTCCGTGGAAGCCTTTTCGGCCGGGCTCACACTTGAAGAGTGCTCCAAGCTGGAGCGCTGGAGCACCCACGGATAGTCGATTCTGTCACATCTAGCCGTCGAGCCGCGGCAGAGTTTCCGATTTCCTCAGCCATCAGAATTGCACTTCTTTTTAAGGTGGGCATCGTACTGAGCTCGTTGCATTGCCATTTGCTCGAGTCCAAAGTCGCAAAAGCACAAAATAGCAGCATGCGAAACACGGGCACACGGGTGCAATGAGTCGCAAACAAGAATAGGATTGGATTGGATCTTGCCAGCGTGTATATGTTGCCAGCACAACATTGAAAGATCGCAAGAATTGTCGTAGCCATTTTAAAGAGCCTGTGCTGTAACACTGCCAAGGCGGATTTTGAGGCGTTTCGATTATAACTAGGGTTCCGCGTTTTCCGTTTTTATTTTTTCAATATTCAACATACGTTTTTCGGTGTTTATTTTAAGGTACAATTTCGGTTTTTATCGGTGTATATTTATGCCTACAAAAGTTTACCTTTTTTTTTTTCCGGCGCAGATACATTGAAAGAAAAAAAACATTGACACTTTATTTGGCAGATGTGTGCAACTGTAGAATACAAATACAAACAGGTCAGTGCCCAAAAAACATGAAACTCCACCTTCTGTACATCAGGATTACGAGATCTTATTTTAGTAAACACATATGAACTTTCCTAGGTACTCCTCGTTGATCCATGCTCATTCTTTCCTGTTAATAACCCAGGGCTTCAAGAATGCCCTCTCAACGTTAACACTAAACACTGGCAGGCTGAGGAGATGAAACGCTGCCTGATCCAAAATCGGCCAATCAACCAAAAGTGACTACCAAAAGAGACACGGTGCGACGTTTTGAGGCAGAAAATATTTCATGTACTCACTAAACTCTGGCTGCAGATCTTACATGAAGCTAAAAACATTATACTAACCCACACCAACACTTTTTCTTTTAGGACCAGGAACTTGACACACTAAGCCCGAACAAAGAAAGGGCACAAATGACCCGCAAAGGACAACCCAAGACCTCTTTTGTTGCATGTTGAGCCTTGGAAGAGGGCAATCACGAAGACGTCTCAGAATGTCGAACCTTGCAACACCCTCTTCCCCTCCTCCCTCCTCCCTCCTCCCTCCTCCCTCCTCCCTCCTCCCTCCCCCACCCTCCCCCGCCCATTTCGATACGACCCTAAAAAACTGACCATTTTCGGTTAAAACAGAATTTTAGAGATTGGATTCGGCTTACTTTTATCGGTTTAAACTGAAAACGCCAAACCTAAAAACTGACCTTTTTCGGTTAAAACCAAATTTCCGAAAATGGATTCGGTGTAATTTTATCGGTTTTTATCGTTTTAAATTGAAAACTCCAAACCCTAATTATAACGCAAACCACCAAATTAGGTCAGGTAAATTTAAAAAAAAAAACTCTTGTTACGTTCGAGTAAATACGGTACTTTTTGACAACTGAGTACACAAAGCAGATTCATGCACCATTGCTTAGTGGGCCTTCAGAGACCGGTTTTTCAAGGCTACACCTCCTCAAGCAGAGGTAATCTGACAACTACACAGGCAATCTGGCGATTTTCGAAAATTCAAGAAAAGCAGGGGCCATCGTTGCTCGACTGAAATGGCAGTAATGACATTTGATTTAGACTGGACGTCTTTACGGGGACTTCGTTAGAGAAGCTCCCCTAATATCTGCATCAGAACTACAAATATACTCCAACTTGGCTCCACTATATTGATAGCTTTGCTATACCAGCCTGAGAGGCTCTAGAGCACCACACAAATTTCAGTTTGCCAAGTCAAATTTCCCACGAGTAAATGTAAACTGGTCCTAGACCACTACCAAACCTCCGGTCTTTGCTTGTAGACCCAACGTTTGAAACAGGAGGAAGACGACGACCCACCTGTCCGTTTGGAGATGTGCGGGGCGTGCCATGGTGGTGGTGGTGGTTGTTGTTGTGGTGGTTGCTGTTGCCGTTGCTGTTGTTGTGCAGGAGGGCAGAGGGCGAGTGGTGGCCGTTTTCGCTCGGAGGGGTCAAGTTGTGCGGCCGCATTCTGGAAACAAACGGGCCTTAGGTCAAACCGCATTCCTTGAGCCCCCAGGGGGTAAACCACTTTTCCACTGCTGCGCGAAAAGTTTTAGATGGGCCATTTTCTTTCCGCTGCAAGGTTCACTTGAAGGCAACACTTTGAGCTTTGGCACCCTCCTTTCCCCAATAGCTACACAGTCAAACCCGTTTATAACGAACAGCAGGAAACACTACGATTAGTTCGATATAGCAAGTAATTCGATATAGCAAAAACCATTTAATACGAACTTCCACGATGCGTTCGTTGCAAGCAGAGTTTGTTCTTTTAGCTTATTTACCCTTCTGAATCGCTTCTCTTTGTAAGCAACTATTTTGGGATGAAAAATTTTTTTTTTTTCTGTGCGTGCATACAGTGTATTTTTTTTAGAGTTCTACCCTTCTGAAATGCTTCTCTTCGCTCAATTTCGTTCGCAACTTGAGCTTTTGAAATTGTCTTTCTTTCCTACTTTGTTTTTTTGGGGCGAAGGGACAGGCTAGAAGGCGATTGTTTGCACATTTTTGGAAGCCTTCCCGGGTGGAAAAAGCTTGATATAGCCAATAAGTTGTTAGTCATAGAAAGTCCTTTTAGAGCGCAGCTCTTAGGGGCCCGTTTCCAGCCTGAGCGGCGTCGGCGTAACCGGGGGAGGGGGGGTCACGTGACCCCCCCTACCCCGAGATCACGTGACTACCCGCAGGTGACGTCACCCCCCTCAGTACCCTTCCCTACTCCTCCTCAAGAGCTGCGCTCCAAGTCGGCATTACAGGGATTTGTAAACGGCTTTCATTTTTTACATGCATTTTTATTTAAATTTTCCACGAATTCGATTTCGACAATAATTTGCTGTACGTTGTAAACAATGTTCACTGTAAATCCCTTAAAAGCGGTTCAAACAGACTCAAAATACGGAACCCGGGAGCCGGAACCCGTACTGACGTAATCACTTCCGGCTCCCGTTTACGGGCGCTGACGTCACGGTTTGGTTTGAACGGCGCGCGACACGGGTCTCCGCATACGGTAGCTGACGTCACGGCGATTCCCCAGGCAACCAATCAGCGGCTGTTGTCAAGTCGGGTCGTTGCCCGGGCAGCCCGGGTATGATGCCTGTAGCCCGGGCGCGCGACGCGCTCCGTCTGGAGCGGCACCGGCGGCACCGCGGCACTCGCTTTGTTTCGTGATGGCGTCATCTCGGCAGGATCCCGGCTACGAAGCTCGAATTGCCTCACTTATGAACCTTTGTGTAGTGAGGTGCGTCACAAATGCAAGAACTATCACCTGGCGTCGGCTGACTACTTTCGCGGCTGCGTGTGAGCAGTACCTACGGAACGTGAAGAAAAAGAAGAAGCGAAAGGCCGTCCGCGAGCTCCTGAAGCCTCGAAAAATGCTCGACGAGTATGCCACCATCGTGAGACTACAGTCCTACAGTGTTGTGAGGCAGATGTTCGAAGACCCCGATGACCGGGAATTCTTTGAGTGCTTCCGAATGTCACGAGCAAGGTAGGGTGTGCTGCTTTTTATTTTAGATCCTTTTCATGTTATATATCAAGTGGCGTTCCACATGGGCCCGCACGTCGCTCGTAGGAATACTCACCTGGAGCGTGCGCTCCCGCAGTGAAAGCACGTTTATGTCATTTTTAACGCGGCAGGATCACGAGAGCAGCTTTTGTAACAGACACATGCTTGTCAAATTTTACTGCGTCTGTGCTATAAAAAAAGAAATAGCAATAGCGTGCACATGTGCAGCTCGTATGACACACTCTTTCGGTCCACAAAATCTGGTCACGGTGTTGTGCTCCTTTGAATGCATGTATGAGGGAAGCCCGTTGTGCTTCCTTGTCCTTTGTGCTAGCTAGGATGTGTGCTTACAAGCTTTCTGCACGAAAGCTCGCGCTGCAGAACCCAGGGATATTGGGTTCAATCCCCACCCCTGCCCGTTTCGATCTGGATGAGCATCGTACCAGCAGACGTTCGTGTTTCACTACTGCGTGACGGGTGTTAAAGACCCTAGGCTAGCGGTCGTACAGTGCTGCCCAAAAACTGGTCTACAGCGCGTACCAGTGTCGTTGACCTTTTTAACCTTTTAAGTGTCAGATGTAGCTCGCACGCACAATGGTTGCAGCTAGGCACATAGCCAGGATTTTGTTTCGGGGGGGGAGGAGATTTTGTCGGTCGCAGAGTGCCCGAGGCTGGTAAAACATTGTGTATAAAAAAAAAAAAGATGAACAAATGAGTTGCTTCATTACAATTGTAGTGAACCAGCATGCCTTAAAAGCTGGAAGCTTAGCACATTTGCTTATTAATAACATCCCACTGCCTTTCCGGTCTCTTTGCAGCCAGCAAGCCAACCACTGCCTGCCTCTACAAATGGCCTTTCTAAAGGCCACTCACATTTGCATTGAAGAGGCCGTTTCATCGGGTTGCAACCACCTCCCGTGTCTCCGAAACCGTGTCAATAAATTATTAAAAGCAGTATCGAGTTCTTTCACTTGTCCCGGTCCTTGTGCTCGCTACGATACCTGTCGTAGATTCAGGGGTACCGCTGAACTAGCTAACTAGTCCATAGGCTTTCTCGGGTACGTCAAACGCAGCGGCACTCTTCTTTGCAGCTTGAGCTGCTTTCCTCACGTCGGAGACGGGCGGGAATTTCATCACTGGAGCTTTTCTTGCAAGCAAGCACGGAGCGACTCAGACATTCGCACGCGGAACAACGTTAACGCCGGTGGCAAGGAGGGCAGAGGAGGGAAGCGCGCCGCGCTGATTGGCCGCGGAGAAAATACGGAAACCTACGTCACGACCCGGGAAGGAGAAAGTTGAAAAAAATTCAACTCTTCAATCCGGGTGCCGGAAGCCGTATTTACGTCACCGCCCGTATGGAGGGAGCGCTGACGTCACTACGGGTTCCGGCGCCCGGGTTCGCAATCCGGGTCTGTTTGAACCGGGCTTTACAACTGCCATTTGTAAGGTTCTGCCACACTACTTTCGTTTACACACTCGCGGCTCGTAGGTGCTCCCATTCTTTCATGTAGACCTTGATGGTTTTTGCTTCCAATAGATGAGACACTGGAGTACAATCCCTCAAGTTTAAGACCCTCAGTGTCAGCAAATTCTGGCAATTCTATGGTTGCTCCGTAGGTGGCAGGCCGTTTTTCTTAAGAAGGACCAGGATACAATGAACTTCCCACAATTTATGTTCGACAACATTGATTATGCACCCCGTTATAGTTGCTGAGACATTCTTCTAAACATAGCTCTAGATAATGTCATACTCAAAACATCAATAAAAGCACTTCATCAGTTTTACGCCCTCCCACCTGTGTCATTGAGGGTGCATCAAGAAGTTTGAAATGCCCATATTCTCTGCGGAACACAAACAAGCAAGCCGAGCACACAAACGCCCATTCCAGATTTTACCCATAACCAAAAACCATGTTACATGTCTGCCACATTGTGCAAACTTTCTCAACCCAACAAGCCCACTTCTCTCTATGCCAAACCATACTGAGAGTTTCAGGTTCCCAGCCGCTTATCGCAGTTTTTACCCAAAACCAAAAAGGCCATCAACTGTTCTCGTGTCGTACGAACCCTCTCGACCCAACGAGCTTGCCTCTCCACACCATACCCAAAACAGAGTGTGTCCCTCGCACCTCTTGAGCAGCTCCTGCTCCTCGGGGGTGTAAAAGGGCCAGTCGTCGCACACCTGGTTCCAGGCGTGCCTTGCCAGGCAGTATGCATTGTCCTTTAGCACTGCCACCTGGCCCAGCACCGCCGTCAGGCCCTTGCGATCCTGCTCCTTGATGCCCTCTGAAACAGCGCCAAGACCGAACGGCGTTTGCGAATAAGCGTTAACACGTTCGATTGTCCCGCAGTCTAAACCTCAAAATAAAAGTTGAAATCAACACGGTGCAAAAGGAACAAGGACAACAAGGACTAAAGCCTGTTGCAAGCTAATTTCATCCTATGCGACCAATGGATCACCCCCGTTTATGTTCCTCTCGTTTCGATCCTCAGCACAAGGTTGGCATCCCAAGTTCCATCATGACGACGTTTGATTCATCTGTCGTTTCCCCGAACATCCAAGGAGTGGAACTATGTTCACCCGAACAATTGCCACGATCACACACACCAAACCTTTTAGAACTGCTGTTAATGGCCTGTTTACACACTTGTGTTTGACCCCGACCGACTGAGACAAGACCGGTTTTAAGCATCTTGCGACGGCTTATGACCAGCTGTGTTGCAGTGCATTCGGTTGTAAGAGGCTTAAAAACCGGCCTTGTCTTATCCAGTCGTACTCGGTTGCAAGTCTGTGAACGGGCCTTAATAGTTGTATTCCCATCGACAGTGCCTAACCCATTTTCTTTGCATTATGTTTTCGCCTAATTCTCTTTTCTTCCTCCCATCTCCATCTGTAGTGCTTTGGAGTCCCGAAGAAACAATGAATGAAAAAAAAGCGGGTCAAGCCCCTCCCACGAAACTCTCTGCTTGCCCAGATTCGTGGCTTCCCCCCCTCCACCGTTCGCTCTGCTAAAGTGAAAAGGGTGCAGGGCTTTCTGGGAGTAGCGTGTCACATTTTCTTATTCTACAACAGACTAGTAGAAGAGGACAGGACAAGCGCTACCCTGCCTTTTAGTTCTACTAGTCTCTTCCAGCTCGCAACATCCTAAGGGGCAGTCAATATTAGAACTGGATTATTCTCCATTACGAACCGTAAAGCTACCACCGACCAGATGCCGATCGCAAAGAGTAAAATTAAACCCTCGTTCACGACGCAAACGGTTCTGCACACTGTTCCCACTGCAGCCTGGATAGCTACTGGCTGTAAAACAACAACCAATTTGAGATACTTTTTTGCCTACACACCTTTCATGAGCCTCGCCAAAAGCTCGGGTTTCTTGTACGGCCGCAACGCGAGGAGGTGTATCACCCTTTCTCTGCAAAAGACATAAAACAAAAATTAATGAATTCAAGCTATTGTGGTCACCGACGGTATGAAAATGGCAGGGTGCCTTTTTCTAATGCCATGCATCCAGAACGTGCACGCATTGAGATTCACGAGACAATGAAGCCTTACTGCAGGTAGGAAACTCAAGTTGGAGGCGGGAAAACCGAAAGTCCTCCCTGCTGTTCTCGCCTTGTCAGTGACTACGCAAAGTGCAAGTTCGTCTGCTTCTAGTTGTGGTGACGTCATAACGCCAAACTCCGATTGGTTCTCACTGAAGGGTAGTGGGTAGACCCCAAAGCAAGCTGCCTTGAAGTCTACCCGCTACTCTTCAGTCAAAGCCGATCAAAACTCACCACAATCCCTGCGAAAGAAGCAGACGAAATCGCGCTTCGTAATTGTAACTGTAATCATAATCGATTATGTCTTTCGAGTAATGCATACAAGACTGCCAGCAGCTGACGTAGGAAACCCGGAGCCACCCACGGCCTCGTCTGGGAGGCACCGACTAGGGTTACTGAATATTTCTAGAGTATTGCAACCGGCGGCGTCCGGTGTCACTGTTCTAGTATATTAGCTTTGATCTGTCATTTTGGCACCGAAACATATATGGTGGAAGAAGTATTGGTGGTGCCAACCACCTTTTCCCAAGCAGACGCGCCACAAATTATCGCCAAAGTTAGGACGTACCCAGGTTGGGTCGTACCACCCAAAATCACCGGTGAGACATGGTTGTGCAAACACAATATTAAAACGCCGCAAAATCTCGTAAACTGAAAGTTAATAAAAACGTCATGCTCCTGCCATTTGTGCTAATCTCCAATAAAAGAGCCCACAAAAAGAACTTTTTCCCACTTGTTTTTACGCAAAAAACATGCTTCCTAAACGCCGACATTGACGAGAAACGCTTTTAGAACTTTCGCGCGTAGAGGGTCGGTCGTAAATTCCGACAAGGCAGTTTGCAACGGTTGTCACAGTGACCACAGTAAGAAAAATAAAAAGATTGAGCCGCCATCTTGACGTCATCAAGCCTGGAGGTTTTGGTACTCTGGGAATTTATACAGTGACTCTAGCACAGACCAGTTTGAGACGTCGGGGTCAGTGAGGAGAGAAGGGGGCGAGAGTGGGGAGGTGAGGGAGGGGGGGGTTTGAGAGGGGGCGTCACCTGTAGGACCGCCGGACGATGCCTGACCGGCTCTCGGGGGTGGGGTTGGAGGTGTGGTTCTGGCCCACGGGCTTGCCGAACGTGATGCGCGGGGGCGAAGAGGACGACTGCCGGGGCGGGACCGTAAGCTGCGGCCGTTTTACCTTCACCTTGCGCCCTGCAAAGCACCGTGCCCCTCAAAAGTCTGGCCGACACCCCAGCTCGACTGGTTGTGAATTAACCCACGAGTGTGGCTCGTCTGATTTCCCCGGTTCCCACACTTAACCGTTTAGGACGAACCAGGCTCGCCCATGGCTTAGTTTGAGGCCCTGCCAACAAATGGCAGCACTAAATTGTTTTCAAATTTTACTCACTTTTCTTTTGTTGTTGTTAGAAACTTAATTTTCAAGGCAGTCAACATAATATTAAAGACAGCAATTCAGCAGTTGAGGGTCAGAAATTTCCCCAAACTATAAACAGTTAAAAGAAGACACAAATCTTAAAATGTGCAGGAACAAAAAATTTTTTCTTTTAGTCTACAATTCGTGAACTTTAAAAGTTGTCTGCATGATTGCTATTTATCTTTTTCTTACAAAAACATTGAAAGATAGCATACATCCAGTAATTGCACTGCCCTGGCCAATGGGGACCTCAGCCTACATGGGTTTAGGTATCTACGGCAGGAGATAAGTGTAACACTGCCAACTGGTGAGGACAGTTGTCCGTTCTCCGCTTCCCCTGAACGTAAGAACAAGTTTGGTGGGGCACAGAATACAAAAGTAGCATTTTAAAACATTCTTCATAATCGCACGTCGAAAGTTACCCCCCTTCCTCATTTTCACCAGATTTGCTCTTGCTTTTAGCTGGTCCATCTCTCAGGGCAGGCACATATCCAGAAAGGGGGGGGGGGGGGGGGGGCATGGTGGCCAAGTTTTTCTCTAAATTTTGTATTTTGCTGGGGCCTCCTCTCCCCCTCCCCCTTATCCAGCATTATGTCATGGGCGAACCCCGCCCCCGAATCAAAATCCTGGCTACGTGCCTGCCTCGGGGTATTATGGTAAACATTTTAATCATTCCACTCAGAAAGCGCAGATTTATTTTAATTAGGTCGACTCAAAGTCACACATCCAGGCTGTTTGCGAGCATCTTTCCAAAACTTTTTTTCTGTTTTCGAAACAAAATAAAAAAATAATGCGAAAATTCTAAACACCAAAACACGTTAGAACGTTCGAGGGAGCACCCCTTTCGCCCTAAAACGTTCCAACGAGGCACGGTTGCCATTACCATTGTCCAGCACAGCAAGTGAATTTGCTTTTGAACCACGGCACATGCACTAGCCCTCAATTTTACTGAAGCTGATTTGAACACATTGATTACTTATTTGTTTAGTGAGCATATGCATTAACAGCAAGGTCTTTCTGATGCTGCAAGTGCATAAATTCTGCAGCTTAGTCACTAATGCAGTGATGTGATTGGTTGGAGTCATTTCAGAGCATCTTTTTAGAGCAGCCAAAAGTCAGTTTTGGAGCATAAGCACAGTTCCATTTTAATTCAAACTAGTGTGAATGTAATGTTAAGCTTTATGTGTCTATGTCTACTTTGCCTTCCTGCATCGGTGCAACCTCTTGATGGTACCAACAGCATGGCAGGTTCAATTCCCTAGCTAGCAGTTTAGTTGCGCGTCGAAATACAAGGCACAGTAATGAGATGCTAATTAACGAAGGGCAGTAGAAGGTGCAGTGCATGGTTGATTTAGGTATGAAATCAAACGTAAAGCAAATAGTTAAGTCCACTGATATAGTGCTAAAATATAATTTTGAGCACTCAAATTTATGTTTTCTTTACGTTTTAAAGCTTGTAATAAAACTGCAGTTCTTAATTAATTTAGGAAACAACTCTTCTGTCATTTTGATGTGAACATCAATGACCATTTATGAACAGAACTTCATAACAAAAATGACATGTAAACAAAAGATTTTGCAAACTTGTTTACATTATTCTGAGGCTTCCAATTACTGCTCCAGCTAATCCAGCTTTAATTTTCTGTATTCAATGTGCCATCGAACGGATGGAATCTATATAAGAGTAATAGCTATAAACTAGAGTTGACACGAAAATAACAAAAAGCATCTGACGATATCTGCAAAACAGATATCGTCAGAATATCTATTTAAAATACTAAACATAATTTAGAAAAAAAAATGTTTTTTTAAGAAATTGAGTAAGGTTTTTTTTTTGAGAGAGTGCTTTTTTTTTAGCATGCGGGTGCACTGCCGTGAAGCAAGATTATGCGAAATTGTGAAGCAGACCACGCGGTTCACTCCTCACTGCAGCACGCGACAACAAGCACATTTAACGGTGCTAGCTACCCGCAAAGAACAGACAACAAGCCAAAGAAACATTGCAGAACTTCCGAGTACTGTTAATATTTGACACAGAGAGCAAATTGAATATGGTGCAGCGATCGCATCACTGCAAATGTGCTAAATATCAGGCCACACTATGTCGTTGTGAGATTCCGCAAGACGACTGTGGGCTCAGGCTTTAAGGGAGGAGAAAATCCAACCAAATGTCTGCAAGCGGGTAGACGATAATAAAAACTGGACTCACCTACGTACGGTGACGTGACCTTGATTACCTTGGTACTGTGAGAGAACGGCAAAAACTCAAATTAGTCATTGCTGTCTCTCGACATGACAGTAAAACCTTGGCGGCAAAAAGTTTTAAAAAAAGTCTTTCCTGAGCTTACCCACCCCACGAAGGAACACATTTCCAAAGCATGTTGCTTTCAAATCACAAACAGTGCAAAGGGTAAAGAAAAAAGAAAACACACAGAGAACTTCACTAGAGAAAATCCTGTCGTAATCACAATGAAGTCATTATGTGGTCTGAACAGACGTCGTTAGATCAACCAAATCGCTGAACTTTGCACTAGGGAGGGGGGGGGGGGGAAGAAGTAAGTCCTTCGCCACCTGTCTACAAGGGGGCACACGCCCCGCACTAGGAGACGCTAACGCTATCGTCGTCTACCCGTCTTCGTGATTTCGGGTGACAAACTATAATCAAGACGTACTTGCCTCACAGTATGGCGCCTGGAATGCAAAGACGCGTTCCAAGCATCGCGCTACTATCTCGTCGAGCTCTGTACTGAAGTATGAGTTAGAGCCAGCTCTCCAAAGCAGACTCGTGTGGCAGCTTGCCAACCGAGTTGCCCTATAGTCACTGACTAGCCAGAACGGCAGGGAGAAACCTCGATTGTCCCATTCACTTCAAAACGCATGCAAGCAGTCGAAGCATTACAGAAGGCGTAGAGTGCAAGCTGGAGGCCGTGCGTCGAAAAGACGGGCTCCAACGTTTTCAGGGTGTCTTTTTCTGTTAGCTGTACAGGTTTGTTTAAAAAAAGCTAGGAAAGCAACGACTATGCAGTCTGTGCAGGTGAGTTATAGGACGGCCAGGGGGACATGATCCAAGGCGCTATTTCTCACGACGAGTCAGGTAATTAAGTAAAATTCGTTGATTGACTTTTCATTTAGTGAAAATGAACGCGCGGTTCCAGTTAGAAACGTGCCAAGCGTAATCGAAAACTACTACATCACAATACTTCAGAAAGATCTGGAGCCATGGGAAGCGCGGCGATGCGGAGAAGTTATTGCTCGTGTGGCGGGTGCAAGGCTGGCAATGCTAAAACGCGGATAAAAAGGGACGGAAAAACCACGCAAGTGCACTTTTGCACTCGCAGCCTCGCGCCTGCTGCCCCAGTGGTAACTTTAGCGTGCCAGTGCATTTTCCAGGCACTCCAAGTCTTTTTATAATTGACTAATTTAATAGTTTTTGATTATGCTCAGCAAGTTTCTAAGGGCAATATGTTTAACTTTGCTACTTAAAAAGGTAATGAACCAATTTGAGTAAACGAATTTAATTATTGTTACGACTGTCCCCCTATTTTATATCCCCTTGGCCATACAACTCGCATGCACAGTCTGCATTTGAGTAGCTTTGGAAGTATTTTCTTTAAGACGGACCCTAAAGCCTTAAAAAAAATAAACACCTCGTATTCAGGCCGTCGACAGCTAAACTTGCCATACACGGTGGCCCTGGCCCTCACCAGTTCTTCTTGCTCTCCTGCTCGACGGTGGCCATCTTGACCCTGGTCTTCTCGTAGCTGTCTTCGCTTGCGTGGATCTGCATCTTGTGCAGCAGGCAGCCCAGAGACTCCAGGGCCCTGTGACCCATCTGCTGCACGCACTCGAAGCTGCCCTGGGGCGCATCCTTCTCCAGCGTGGACACCCCGAAGCCGAACCGCTGCTGCTGCTGCTGGGGCTGGCCACCCCCATGCGACGGCCGCGGCACCGTTATCACCTGCAGCACGTGAGCGTCTGTCAGACGACGCGCTTCCACCACAGCCACCACGTGTGGCAGAGCAACACCACTACAGTTTAGCCAACATGCCTCGACTGTGGTCACTGCATGTGGACGTCTCAACAAACACGCTTCGACTAAAGTCACCGCTTGTGGTAGAGTAACGCCACGACAGTCTCGGCCAATACGCTTCGACTACGGTCGCTACGTGCGGCACAGTAGCACCGCTAGTCTCAGCCGACACGTTTTGACTACAGTCACAACGTGTGGCAGAGCAACACCGAAACCTTCTCAGCACTCTTCGACTACGATCGCTAAATGTGGCAGGGTCACTACTACGTTCTCGGCCGACATGCTTCTACTACGGTCTACTACTACTATGGCGAGTAATACTAATACTACAGTCTCAACCAACACGCTTAGACTGTGGTCTCTGCGTCTGGCAGAGTAAAATAATAAAAATCTTGGGCGACATGTTTTGAACATTGTTTTATTTCCATCATGGGGGGGATGGGGGGTGCCAAGGGAAAAAAGCTGTTCGACACAGCTTGACGAGCCCATGGCACACCTACTAAGCAAGCAGACAACAGCTCCAAAAGTCATAAGAAATAAATAACAAAATATGATAACACACAATAGTTACACGCTCTTACCATAGCACGAATGACTACATGCACATTTGTAAAATGTTTGATATATGCTTATTGGGTACAGAAGTAATATCAACTCAATTTGATGCAATGCTATTCAATATTTCGAGAAGTAGATGCTTAATTCTCTGGTGACCAATATTAATTTGCGATTTAGGAGTATGCCATGGGTGAAAATGACGGACGTAGTGAATTGAAATGCGAGACTATGAGTCAGCTATTTTGAAGAAAGTTTCCTGTTTACGTCTTAATGCAACTTGATATGTTTATATTAAATGTTCAGAATAAATATTTGATACGTCAGTTAGGGAATACTTTTCGAAGAGGGGCAGTGACGGGGCTGTCCAAGAGACATTAGCAACTGCCCGTATAGTGTGACTAAATTAGTTAATCCTGTAGATTCCCAAACAAGATGCGCGTTTTAACTACTGTCGCTACATCTGGCAGAGAGAGACACTACCGCGGTCTCGGCCAACACCCCCAACTACAGTGGCCAAATGTGGCGCTTTCCTGGACGATTGTCAGTCCCAGTGAAATGTCACTCCTTTTCAAGATAGAATTATGCAGCCAAACGACACAAGACACGCGGGCCGTGCGGCCTACACTATAGTCGGTTACAGGTTAAGAAGGTAGCGGCAAATGCCCCTCAAAGGGAATGCCATATCCCTCCGCCACCTCCGCATCCAATAGCGTCCCACCGTTTCCGTGACGTCGCGGCCAACGCGCGAGGAGGGTCTTGCCTTTCTGTACATATTTGCTTTATCTTTCGACTTCGACTTAGCATTGTGGAAGCCACGAGAGGGAGATTAGAGTTTTCCCCCACCGACGGAAACAAATACGACTTTCGGGGATTAGCTTCCCCCCCGATGGATACAAAGGCTGCTTTCAGGGGCTCGGTTCCCTCCCCGATGAATACAAAGGTCGCTTTCTTAAAAAGTGGGATCGGAGACAAGTTGGAATCCATTGAAGCGGAACAAGGAGCGTTTCCAGGGAACTCTTCTTTCGACTGCGGAGAAATTTGAAACGGGCGCATCACGCTTGTGGGAGGAGCTTCTCCTACCTTCTTGACTTGTAACCGACTATAGCACGCGATGCAATGAATGGGTCAATACCAACAACACCTACATTGCGAACACCATAAAGACGCAAGCCTTGCTGCACCTCAAAGGTCAATGCCCACATCCAAAAGCAGCCACGAGCGCGCTACTTGAAGCACGCCATGCGTAATAGTTATGACAAAATGAAGTTTATAAAGGGCACAAAAACAAATTATTACAACGCCGTTGCAAGGGTCCCCTCATTTGCACCTTGGAGGCTATTGTAGCCATGCAATCTACACCTCTCTGGCATTTATGTGCCCTGTAGGCTCAAGAGATTTCTTTCCTGTTCTCATCAAACTAAGGTAACATACTACACGATACTTCACAAAGCTTAAAGGGATACTGACAGGGTATTTATGCTCGCCGAGGTTTTTAGTTGTACGTGACATATGAGAGCTCAACTACCCAGAACAGAATTTGCAACTCTAAATTCGGTTTCTTTCCGCCCGAAAACCGCCGATCAAGAACTGGCCGGTTCGAGTCTCGCTCACTCTCTTTTCCGCGGTCACGGGCCGTTTTCTAAGGTATCGATGCGACCACCAAATTTAATCAAAGTCGTGGGTCACTGAAGGCACACACTCAATATTAAAAATAGAAAAAAATATGAAACCCATTTTTTGTGGCTTCTAAAAAGCTGCAAATACGTTGATTGAAAAAAAAAGTTCCACAGACAACCGGAAGCATTCTGTGCGTTCGTCGTTTCGCGTATCGTGGGACTCGCGGGGACGGCGATGGCAGCGGACGACGGGCGTGGGACCTCTATTTCATTACTGTCGTTCGCGGTACCGGCGAATTCTGTCTACTTTTAAAAGAGAAATTTGGGACTGATCAAAAGAATTGGTATTCATCCCGTACGACACGCCCGACCACCAAGCCGATTTGCACGAAGACGTCGCCGAGCCGTCGCTCCCTTCTCGTGGCTGAAGACATCGCTCGTGCAAACTTCAAGCACGACGTGTCTACTTCGAGAAGAATATGCACGCGTACGATTTCTTTTCTAGGTGCGAATGTCGCCAATGCATGGTGCTTCCCGAGTTCGACCCGGTAGTGCTTTTGCTAAAGGGAAATCGGCAGCAAACTTTCCAACTTACAGTTTACCGGCTGAAATATTAGTAAGGAAAGAGATCCACCATTGAAGAAATGCTCCGTGGGCACGACGTCCGCTTCGCACGCAGTAGGACTGGGTTCGATCCCTCGTAGAACCTTTTTTTTTTTAAACATTTTTTTATGTTTACATGCCTTTTTTTTTTACAATTATCACTGAAGAAACAAGCAAAAAAATAGCAAAAAAATGTTGTGGATGACCCTTCGCTGAATTAAATGGTATGGGATTTCCTTTTTGACACCTGCGAACTCAATGTAATCACTTTCCACAAAATGCAAGGAGCATATAAATCAGGTAGTGTCCGCTTTCCGAGGTGCCCGTATATGTTCTACATTAATTGCAGCCAGCCATTGGTCCCGATCCCGTTGATCTTTCGGAAACTCTGTCGCACAATGCCCTTTTTTTCCGGACGCAGGACATATGAGCCAGCTCTTCACGCAACATCTTGGGTGTATTCTTTTCGGAGCCGACCATGGAAATTCACCACGGGCACTCACTACTCATCTCCAACTCCTCAATGTACAAAACAACTCATCTTGGAGTACAGAACAACGAGCGGAACAAACATAACTGCAAAAGAAGCGCACGCCACGGCGAACAGTTCCCGTACGCCGCATGTCGTGTCGTCTGCTACGGAGAGGAGAGAAAAAAAAAAAAAAAGCGGCACGGTCGGGTGTAGCCACGTGACTTCCGCCACTCACTCTCTTCTCTCCACTTCTCCGACCTCCGTCGGGTTTCGGTTTCGGTTTCGAGCAGTTGCGTTTTTTGGTTTTATTAAAAAAATACGCTACTCTGTTGCAAAATATTAATTGGGTAGTCCTCCGACACCATAATAAAGCGCCTGGCAAAAAATTTAAAAAATTTTTTGGGGGGTGTCAGTGTCCCTTTAAGTCGACGGAATAGCCTGCGATCGCAGTCTGAATACAACACAAGAGCTGAAAAAGTCGGACAACGAACAACTTATGTCCATTTCACCGCTTGCCATCCCCAGCTGCTGTGGATAGTCTTCTCGTATTCACATGGAGAGTACTTCCTGTAAACGCGGCGCAAATGGGTGTGCAAGAACGTTTTTTCTCTTGTTCGGCACCACCGTGCATTGGGCAGCTGCAGTGAAAGAACAGCGGCTGCGGTAGCTGCTGTTTTGACGCCACACATTTTATTCCAAGTGTAGAGGCAGACGTAACAAGTCATTGTTCTGGTCCCAGCTCAAACTGCGCATCATACAGTCCCCGGCACATTGTTCCCACGCGCAATAATAACAAACTCAATGTAGGAAGAAGTGCTACTGGAAAAGCTGAAGTGCAGAATGGCACATCTAAAGGCCCTACATAAAATTTATAATGTGTTCAACACGAGCATATCTAGGTAATGGGCACTGAAAATGCAGACTGCTTGGAAGACAAATAAATCACTGACTTTAGAGGAGTACAAGTTACAGGTAATTTTCTACACCTCAGAAATGGCTGCTGTTCCAAAAAACTGCCAGCCTAAACCAACATTTACATTTAATAAAAGCCAATGAAACATGCTTTGCCAGCAACTAGCCAAAATATAGCACCGCAATAAAAAAACAAGCATTGCCAACTCACTTTACAGAGTGAGTGGTTGATACCACTCACTCGGTAAAGTGGTATCAACTTTTGAATTTAATTTGAAGGCCATTTTACTACAATGTTGAACATCCAAATGGCGTATAAATATTAATTATTAGACGAGTTTCCTTTTTATCGTTTGACTGAATATAATGCAATAACAATTATTCTTCAGTGTGCCACTTTCTCCGCTGAATATTAAGTATTTAGAGGTGGAAGGCAGTTCATATGCTGCACAAAGTAGCTCTTATCGAAATTCAGTTGTTGAAAAAAAAAATGTTTTTTGCATTTGAAACATTTATGCTGAATAATATAATAAACTGGTCTTAATGAATTTAATAGACCACATAATGGGGACAAATAGCTGAGCTCTGCAAGTCCATAGTGAAGTTAGTTTTGCTGATTTCAATTTCAAATCTCCTATCACAAGGGCGCACGCAGCTTATCCTGAAAGCGCACACCACTTGACGTAAATAAGTCAATTTAAGTGGTATAGAAGGTAATTAGGCAGTAATATATTATTTGGAAGAACTTATTTGACACTAATTATGCT